TTCGGAAAACGAGTTTATATGGGCTCTCGTGAACGGGGAGGATATTCTGTTTTTTTTTCTTCTTTCTTTCTTTTTTTTTTTTTTTTTTTTTTCGATAAAAGTGCAGTTGGTTTAATTGGCGGGAGAGAATGGTATGGGGGGTATGGTAGTTTAGAGAGGAAGAGGAGGTCGGTAGATAGAGAGGAATTTCGATCGCGGTTTTTTAATTAAGATTTGACGTAGTGGAAAATTTGTTTCTTAAGGATTTATTTATTTGGCAATCTTTATATCGTATATAATTATGCAATAACTATTAAAAAATAGAAAATTAAATATATTCACGCTTCATCAAATCGATCGGTGGAAAGAAGCAAAGAATTATATTTTTAATAAGTATTTATTATTACTACTATTAAAAAAAAAAAAAAAGACAAAATTTAAACGAAAGTTTAGAATTATTTTATATCCATTAAAAATTAAAAATCTTTTCTTCTATGAAATATCGATTATTAAAATTCTAGAATGTCAAAAGCAAAATTCACCATCGAAAATCGTAATCGACTTTAAATTTTCGCATCTCTCTCTCTCTCTCTTTCTCTTTCTCTCTACAATCCATCAAAAAGATTTATCATTTTAATTCCTAAAATAAATCAGAAGCGAGAGAAGAAGAAACAGAGCAATCGAATTTTCAAAAATCTTTTTCTGATCCTCGTTTGATCGAATCATCGCCCGCAAAATATCGATTATCGAAAGGATCGAATTTAAAATTTGCCAATTCCATGAGAAAATCAGAGTCGACTTTAAAATCACACCTTTCTCGGCAACCCGTGACTCCGTCAAGGATTTATCGTTTTAATTTCTGACGGGTCGGAAGCGAGAGAAGAAGAAACGAGGATATCTCGAGACCCTGGGGATCCTCGTACCTCGGCCAGGGCGAACTGGAAGCGAGGCAGCCCGAGGTACATTCATCACGAGTTATTAAACAAGCCAACAAAAGGCTTGGGTGACTGGAGGGCGCGTGAAAAAAAGCTGGAAGATAGAATCGGCTAACCAGGGCCGCGATGATAGATGACCACGAGGATTAAGGCATCCTTGCGATCTCGCTTCCTTCCCGCAGAATTTCTTACGATAGTGATAAGAAGTTGCCACATGCAGATAAACGTGGTGAGGAAAATTAGTGGAAAATAATTTGATAGCCGTGTTGATTTGAACGACTCGCATTTCTCTTCTTTTATTTTTCTTTCTAAAAAGAAAATTTCATGAGATGGAAATTCGTGTGCTATGGATATGAGGATAAGATATATATTTTTGATTAAATTTTTTAAATGGACGAAGATATTAAATCAAAATCTTTGTCTTTTTAAAATAAATCTAAAAATAATTGTTCTTTATTTATTTGCAGTTGAATTATTCGATTGGATATTAAAAGTAGATGTAGATAGAATCAAAATTGAAATTTATTTAGAGTACTGGATGAAAGCATTGGAATGAAGATTAGTAAATAAATTTATATAGTGGTATAAAATTAAGGAGAAAAATGAAGCACATGGATTATTTTGTTAAAGCGTAAAAAAACTTTAAGAGAGGAATATAAATGTACATTAATATTCCTCGATTAAAGTTGACTTCATTTTCTTTCCTCTTTTATCTTTCTCTTAAGAAAGTTTCCTGTAATGAGAAAAGAAAATTTATTGAAGTATATCGTGGAGTAAAAATTAATATATAATGAAAATAGTTGGGATTATAAATATTCTTAAAGTATTTTATATTTTTATTAAAGATAATAGAAATTCAACATTAATATTATTATTAATATGTAAAGGAATTGAAAATAAAAAATTTAGAGAAAGTTAATAATGAAAGAATATAAACGAATATAATATAGCGAGAAATAATAAAAATTTATTTTGTTCGTGCATCGATTTATCGGTCTCGATTTATTTCTTTCACGTTCTCATGTGTTGAGATATTAGAAGGGGAAAAAAATCGTTATAAATGGCGAGTGATATCTAGATCGAGAACCAGATCATTACAAATTAGAAATTAATAGAGCAGATCGAGTTGGGACTGCTCCTAGCTAATAGTTTCCTTCTTTATTGAAACTGAAATTACCCTGTTATTAATAATAATTATACTTGTTACTCGGTAAGAATAATTAAATTTACTGTTGCTAAACGATTCCGTAATTATTCAATCGTATTAATCAGTGTAAGCTAATCAATTCTTCATCAAATATAGTACCATTCTCGATTTAATGTCTTCATTTAACGTCTTCGATTTTCCAAAGTAAAATATTACGAAATAAAAAAATATTATCGATTAAATACAACAAAATTTTATTAAATAAAAACATTGGCCTCGAGTATAAAAATACAATATATATTTTATCATAGGTGAAATTTTTTAAAGAAATATTATATTCGTTCTATATTTAAACATAATTAGATTTCGTTTAATTTTAAAAATTTCTGGAATTCGTATTTGAAAATCTTAATTTTGATCACTATACTATCTCTTCCAAATTGATCAGTTCATCACAGGAAACCTAAAAAAAAAAAATTCTTCAATTATTCCAATCATAAGATTCCAAATCTATTAAATTCTATCAAAATCTTCATTCTTTTTCGCACGATAAATTTTCTAAAACTTCCACATTACCTTGTAATAAACTTCCACTCCCTTTTCCAATGATTAATCCTTCAAAAAATTCATTCACTATTATTCACCTAAATCAATCTAGCTTAATAATTAAACTCACGATTCTTCATAAATACTCCTTTCCAATGTTTAAGACAATTCCACGTAAGAGGAAGATTATCCCTTGTCACGTGTCCCATTGAAAAACCATCATCTCACGAGCAAGCACGCGCCAGGGAAGCTATATTCCTTTTTATTCCAACCCTTTCCATATCCTCCAGAACGTAAAAGCAGCACCAACCCTCTCCGGGGTACCTGTAACATCAATTAAAATTCCCGCGGTCGATGAGCCGCTGTTTCGTGCGATCGTCCGCCGTTTTTAATTGGATTAGAGCGAGACGGCTACACGCAGCATCGGCGCGAGGGGGTGGGTCGAGCGTGTCGAGGGTGGCAGGTCGTTGCGGGAAGGGGTAGCCTCACGAATATTCGGACGTGGCAGACGAAGGGGCAAGGGACGTTGTTGGAAGGTGCAGGTAAATGACAGAGACAATCTACCACCCCCTCATACCGACCCTCTCAGTGTTCTATGGTGTGGGGTGAGTATCGATTCGCACGGTTTTGTTAGAAAGGAAAAGTGGAAGGAGGTGAACGAATGAAGGTGTTTTGATAATTGTTTTTCTTTTTTTTTTTTTTAGGTTTTTGATTTGAGCTGAGTATATTTGACACTTGGTTTTTCAATTTATAAAAATTATGAAAATTATTTTGCGATATTGGATTAAATTTCATGTGAAAATTGATCGATGTTAATGCGACAAATAAAAAATTTTCTTTTAATAATGATTTGATCAATTTTGAGGAATAATAAAATGTTGAAACACATAATGTGAAATAATTATACTTTTATGATATATAATAAAATTTTTCACAGAATAAACTCTACAACTTATATTAAAATATAAGATGAAATAAATTCTACAAACTTCTCCCTGTACAAAGTTTCGTTTTCCAGGAAAATAACGTTATTACAATTATACGATTCCAAGAACTATAATGATGTATTAAAACGTTTTCGCACACACATATTAAAAACTTAAAACATCTTTTTGAATTTATAAAGCACATAACAATACAAAATAAAGTAATTGTCTTCATATTTGTATCTACATCCCAATATTCACGTTATCGTACGCGCAATGTACGCATGCGATATCAAACCCAAACAATTTAAAAGTGGCGATTCTCATATAAGCTTTTGGGAACGATTAACTATTTTTATAGGGTTTTTTCAGGGCGAACTTTCGAAAGGACTGTCGGAATAAATCATCAGGAGAGTGTACAAAGTGCCGGGGGCGGCTCGTGCATCGTATCTGCATTCGCGCCACGCGGCATTAATTATGTATTCAATAAATTTTAAACGCATCGAAATGAATTCAAATTGCAGATTAATATTAAACGGCGTTGGCTAATTGGCCGGGCAATTATGCGGTGTTAATTAAACATTAGGAGCAAAGTCGTCGCGACATAAGCACGGACTCCGCCATCTGGCGAAAAGTTTGGAAAAGAAAGTTTGTTGAGAACAGAGCCATCTGAAAGAGAATTTCTACGATTCCATCAAAGATTCGAGGTCAATTTTTAAACGTCTGTTTTATGGTAACTGTTCATCTGAGGCACAGATAATTCATTTTTTTCGTTATATCAATTTTTTTTATTAATTTATTCATTTGGAAGATTGAATACAAGATTTGGATTTCGAGAGTGTAAATTTTTATCTTAGATTGGCATGTGAAACATGAAGGCAATGAAAAATTTGATTCGAAAAATTTAATATAATTTCAGATGGTTTTGATACATTTTGATACAAGTTCGTATTCTTTTTGTTCTTTCTTTTTGTCATTTGAAAAGGATATTGGCAACGTTGGACTTATAATTTGTGTGAATATTTTACTGATAAACAGTAGAGCGAAATTTTTGTAGTGATTTTAATACAGAAATATGGTGAACAATATTGAAGAATAATAAGATAAGAAACATATACTTTATAGATAACAATATCTCACAGTCAAAACAAATTTATGAATAATATAAAATACAGTACAATGTCTATACATATATAGTTAAAATTTAACACGAATTTCATGGCTATTATAAATTTTTATATAGCGATTTATGATTAACAAACAAGAATATATCTTAAATCATGAATAAATCACAACGATAAGAATTTATACAACTTTGTTAATAAAATGAATGGGTAAGGAAAAAACGTGTTTAGAAAAAAAAAACGTTTTATTACATTTACCTACGATTTGTATACGTTAATATACGCAAAGTTACATACACAACAACATACGATCCGGTTCGAGAGTGATACTTTTACGGGTTCATCGAGACGTTAAAATATTCTCAACCCTTGAAGAGAGCACATCGTGAGAAATAGGAAGGGAGTTCGAGTCACGATTTTAATATCGGATTGGATAAAACGATTTCGTTCTTGATATGTCCAAGATTGGCGAACGTAATGAAAGACTTTGCCATAGATGGATTACGAAGAGAAACGATTATTTAAATCATAATGTAGCAAAGCGATTAACGTGTGTACAATATCGTTCGACAACAGTAAGAAAATGTTTTGTACTCTAAATCCATTTATTTTATCTTCGCATATAATATTTATTGTGCTTCGTGTCGATGATACGTTGCTATGGTAAAATCTTTTCCACGATTCGTCAAACGTATGCGTTCGAATTGTCGCTCATAAATCACGATACATTTCACCTTTTTCCCAAAAATGGTTAGACGAGTTCACGCCCGATTGAGTATTCGTGACTATACCACCGAGTTTATGTGTTACACCATACTACATTAATATTCCTTTTTGACTTATAGCTCTGTTCGATTAGTTATGCAGCTTGAGAACGCGATTATGTGATTAGTTGAATTATTTAACGGTGAGTTGCGAATTTCCATGTCTCTTGATCCACTTTCTATGCAAATTGTCGTGTATTTCTGATTTCTTTCATTTACAAAAGTTTGATAATTGATAATATTCATTAGATATAGATGAATGTTGTTGAGATTTTTCTTTAAAAATGAAATGATTCAGCGGATCAATTGACTATAATCCTACAACTCTGTTATTTGTAATGAACGATCGACCAGTTTTTATAGAGGCAACGAGATCATTTTCACGAGTAAAAGGTATAAATTCTTTGGTAAAATCGAGCTTATACATTAATTTTCTTAAGATACGTTGCCTATGCCACTTAATGCTACGCCTAGTTTATGCACGCTACCACAATTCTTGTTTTCTTCTTATTTTATCGATTAACATGTCGGTTGTTATAATGACTATGTGACACGTCGCTTGAGTAATTACGAAACGTTAAAAAAATTCGTTTCGAGGTTCTCTTTCGTAAAGAAAGATCGTAATTTTAATCTTATTATCGATAATTTATATACAAGTTCTTTTTTCCCTCTTAATTTGCATCAAATCTTGTAATAAGTCTGCACCCTGTTCACAGAATTTTTTTTCATTCGTCCTTAGATTATGAAATCACAGGGAACTATATGATCATTTGTAGATACTATTTTCTCACAAGATAAATATATTTGTATCTACATAATCGTCAGTAGATACGACAGAGATTTGTATATCTCTCTTAATAACGTAGATTTCTTCCATAACAATTATCAAAGTTTATTCCTCCAACGATTCAGATTTCACGCCACTAGTTCATCGTTTCCTAATATATAGGATTAAAGTGGCGTTTCCTCCTCTTGCAGTTACCTGGGCGTCGGAGGAGGTGGTGGTGGTCATACGGCGCTACCTGTGTAGAAACCTGTCTTGCCAGCCAAGCCAGGTCCTCGTTTTTTCTTCTCGCATTCCATTGTACTAAATGTATTTTGAGCGATTTGAGACTTTCTTTTCGGATTTTGAAGTGTCATGCTTCTTTGACTAGAGTTTGAACTTGAACTAGTTCCTGGTTCGGATACTCTAAGAATCCCTGAGTGTATCGTGCCGAAATTCTGATAAATATATTGAGATTGAATAGCTGAAACAGATGTATTCTGATTCTTCAAGGTAATGGGCACTGTCTGCCCTGCTAAACTATTGTATCGCGTATCATAACCGAAAGGAGTATCCAATAACGATTCATTTTTTTCTCCATATCCACTGAGTCTGGAATCGAGGAGACCTTCCTTTTCGGTAAAGCCACTCAATCTAGAATCCACGATATTTTGTTCCGTAGTTCTAGGAGAGAATTCGCTATATCGTGGCTCTTGGCCAACTGGATGTTCCTTACTTTCTGTGAAAGCAATCATATTCTGTCGAGAATCAGATAAAATTCTGGAATCGATTAAACCTTCCTTATCGGCAAAACCACTTAATCGTGAGTCGATAACACTAGCTTCTGACTTATCCCCGAAGCTATATCTAGAATCCGTGTTTTTTGTATCTGGATATGCTGGTAAAACATGAGAGAGGTCTGCCTTATCGACGTAGCTAATAGCTTGAGGATTCGAGGCACAGATATCGGGTGCAGTTTTGCATAACAAAGATGTTCCTTCTTCGGGAGCTCTTTGGGATGCTGTAAATGTTATAAATTTACAATTAAATATTTAGCTTAAAGTTGTGTAAAATGATATATATAAAAATGAATTAATTACTTTTTGAAGGTTGTCCAAAAGCTCGAGCTTGTGGAGGTCCAGGTGACTTCTGATGAGTTCTAACTAGATATTCTGAACTCAGACCTCTCTGTTCTCTTAATTTTCTCTCAGCACCGGGTACCATGACTCTCACCTTAAAAATAAAACAATATTAAATTAACTATTTCGCTACTAGTGTCATTCTAAAATTATGGTATATATATACCATTTCTTCTACTGTTGAGAAACGGGCCATGTATCCAGACATAGTCAATACAGCCGCCACTTCTGCCAGAATTAAAGCCAACCCTGATAACTGAAGACACCAGCCATACTGATACTGTGGTAAACCATTGTCATCGGCTTGCATACTCGAAGTAGATGGCAGACTATATTTTGCCGGCAACTCTAACGATGCATCCGACAAAGCAGATGCTAGAACTATAAGGCCACCACCTAACGAGAGTCCTGGAACACAAATGAAATTATTACTTGGCTTATATCCTAATATCTTTGATATTTGTGATATTCGAATCAATTCGATATTCGTGATTTATTTTCGAAACTGCATTTGCTATACTATTCACGATAAAATTCCGTTAAAGTCAATATACTATATTGGATAATACATAAAGTTTCGATTTATATCACGATTTGTTTTCCAATCGTCGAATTTTTTAATTAAATCTTTCGTATCGTTTCTCTATATCATTACTTCTACGGAATATTTAAGGATTTACAACTTCAATATCCAACGGATATTCGAATACTTCTGATTTCTTTAAATGTTACGACTTTTTTCATTTCAGCAAAGAAGTCTAAGATGAACTTTATTAACAGATCTGGAAGAGATCTGGATCTACCGCGGATTAAATTAGGTGGAAAGTTGAGAAACGGTTCATAGTTGTTCGCAACTCAACTTTTGAAGCTTCAATCTTTTTCTTTATTATGGATCGATTGCTCGTATCTCTTTAAGCTCAGGCAACAGTACTATTACATTCTCGTAAATACGCTAGCTTACACTGGTAATGCAAGACGAATGAAGCCATTAAAATTGATCGTTCCATAAAGCTCGTCGCGTTTTCTGCGTGCTTAACTGCACCTTTCGGGTGAATAAACGGCACCCACTAACAGTAATTGAGATAAAACTGAGTGCCCTGTTCCTGACAAAGAATTAGATTGGTTGCAGTTTTTCAATTAAAGGAAAGAACGATGAGTTATTGTGGAACCTCTATCCGGATTAAGTACACATTGTTATTTTACAATATTATAGGTTTTCGAAACAAACATCTTTCTAATATTTTCCAAGAACCATCCCAATAAATTTTCTATTTCTTCTTCTCATTCCCATCTAAAATTTTCGTTTCGTCAATAACGAATTCTTCATTTTTTCTCGTAAGATTCTTTCGACTTGACCGCTTTTAGTTTTTACTCAATGGATTTTTACCGCGTGTAAAGCGTGCTGTATAAAAATTTGCATACGCGTAAAACGAACAAGCGAAGCTTGCTGCCGTTTCCTCGACGGTCGATTCAATTCCAGTCGCACCGTCGACAGGACATTGTTATGACGGGATAAGCTGTCCCGTTATTGCATTCTTAACGACAGATAGTCGGCCTGCGTCACGGCGACCTGGATTATCGTTGAAACGCACCAGCTCTCTTGGTCTACTTTTCAACCCTTTTACGAATGCTCGTCTATTTTAACTCTCTTTCGTGGTGTTGTTTAAGTCATTTCATGAGAAAATTGAAAGCAGATGTATTTCTTATTTTAATTTGTTGTAATTGCGAATAGAATTATTAATGATGATGAAAAATTAAAATTTTGTGAAAATTAGATTAAATTAAATTTTATTAGAAAGGAGAAAATTTTTGAAATTTATTTGATATTATAGAAATTTTCATTTGGCGTTGCTTTAATTCGAAATTAAATTAAAAGTAGAATTTTTATTTTATGTTACGTGTTTTAATGATATCTTTATGAATTTTCATAACTATTGTTACGGGATCGGATCGTGTTATTAAATTTAATTATTAAATTATTCGTTGATCGTGAAAATATTTTATATCAAAGCATATGTTAATTGCATATGTTTCATAGAATTCTAATTGCCAAATTTAATTATCAAAATTAATTTTCGAGTCACAGGTGTATAAAGCAGATATTCATTATACTCAAATAAGAAAAATTTTTTCAAATTCTTCGATTAGATATATTATACTCGCATTGCAATGATATTAATTGTATGTAAATGTTTATGCTAATTTATGAACGCAAATGGAATCTACATAAATATTGTTTTACATTTTAGATATTACAACAAGAATTTTATCGTTAATTTTCGTATCCTATAAATTTTAACACATTTAAATTTCCCATCTATATAAATATTTCTGTTCCAATTAATATTTCCAGTTATTTTATCAATTTAACAGATCATATTCTGCTCTATTTAGAATATTCACATAATTCATTAATACGATTCATAATACGTAATTGCTCGATATATATCAAAATCGAACATAGCGAAAAGTTTCTTAAAATTTTGTTTTTCCTTTCTACAAACGAGCAATTAACAGTGTAACAAAAAAATTTCAGAAATCCAAAAAAAAAAAAAAAAAGAATAAATACACTGAAAAATCCTCAACAAAATTCAACAAATATTTTTTCCTTCCTGCAAAACGAACAATTATCAAACGCACGACGTCAATAAAAAAAAAAAAATAAATAAAACTCTCGAAAGCCAAATCAATAAAGTCGAATAGAAATTTCTTAAAATCCTCTAATAATATTGAAAAAAATGCTTTTACCCTGCAAACGACCAATTATCAGTGCACGGCCGACAATAGATTACAGGTTCGTCCCCTGTAGGTGATTAATTTCAATAATTGATTGCTACTTCAGCTTGTTAAATTACGGCGGGCATAAAAAGCATGCATATTTCATTGGCGCGTCTCCGTTGAAACGGCGCGAATTGTGTTCGGCGAATTTAAATTTCAATTAAACGCCGCCATACGTTTTACAATCGGGCGTACGTCGTTTCGTCGAGGGCAAAGTTTATGCTTCGTTCTCGATTCGCGGCACGTATCCGCGCGCATGAACACGCGATGCACACACTTGTCACGAAGATGATTTAAAAATTTTGAAAATGGATAGCGATCGGAATCGGTTAATCCAGCGTGGTTATTTATCGCCTTAAGTCCATAACAGTCTGCATCGAAGAACGATGAGTGTCCAAATAGAGGAATTATAATTTATCTGGTAAGATCAATTTAACTTTCTGAATTTTTTGAAATATGTGAAATTATTCGAAATATATTTGTAAAATGTATTTGTATGATATTAATGGAGAAGAATTTTTCTTTTGTAGATAATTAATTAGAAATAGGAAAAATCTAATTTTCAAAATTTTATTTCTAGAATGGAATGTTTTTCAGAAAAATATTTTATTATTTTTGGAAGGGTTGGTAAGACGTATTTTTTAAATTTCTCGATTTAAAATACATTATTTTTATGGTATAGAATCTCTGTACGTAGATATAGAGAAATAATTATTATAGAAAATGTAAAAATATGACATGGTTGCTTCATTATATAACCAATAAAGAGAATAATAGATCGAAACCAATTAAACAAAACAATACAAAAATAATAAAGAACAAAGAAACATAATTGAAAAGAGATGAAATAAATGCAATAAATAAATATAATTAACTCCCTTTGATTTTTAAACTTTAATTTATTCAATTCAATATTAAATAAATGTAATAATAATAAATCAATATAACAAAACAAAAAACATGTTTTGTACATTGTTTTATTTTTAAAAAAATAATGGAATTTCCATACATTTAAAAATAAATAATTTACATTTTCTAAAAATTATTGTTCATTTACATCATGTTAAATTATTTCAAAAAATATAAAAATTCAAACCTAGTTTTTTTTATATCAAATCGATAGGAGATAATTTTTATAATTTTTCCTGTTTCTTTTTTATAAATTATTCAGAAGAATCACAGAGCTAGAATGAGGTTGTTTTCCTTAGAAATTCAAGCATGATTGAATCCCTTCCGAGAATCTACACGTGATCCAGCATTTCACACGTATTTTATCGTGGTACAAAAACTTGGCCGCGTATCGACGAATCGAATTTCTATACGCGGAGAGAGGTTTAATTAGCACGGTGCTTGTCAGCCTTCTCTTCATTCATCGATTTCATTCGCAAGTATGCCAGGCCAGACGCTGTTTATCAATTAACTGTAGTTAACCACCGCGACCTAATTTCACGCGTCTTCGGGAACAAGTCACGACAGATGTGAAATAATTACGCTGTGGCGCAAGTTTAAGGTTCGTTAAGGGCCGTGAAAAGGAATCTTTGTTCAATTTCGGCTCGTCAAATAATTGCGCGAAGTGAAGGAATTCGTTAAAACTGGATGAGGCATATTTTTATTAAAATATTTTATTATATTATTAAAATATATATAAATATTTTATTAAATATTTTTATTAAAATATAATAATGGATTCGTAATGTCACGATCAAAAGATTAATCGTGTCGATATTTAAATTAATTTTATTTTGCTTTATATATTGTAGATGGATTCGTAATTGGAATGAAATTAAGTTAAATAACAAGATGTCTGAATTAATCTTTCGAAATGACACTGTTGCGAGAATTTTTTGGAAAATAAATTATCGATATTTTGAAAGGGCTTGCGGATTAATTACTGATAAAACGTGAAATTTTAATCCATAATTTTAATTATAATTCTTTCATTCCATCGTACGAATACGCTTCTTCTTTATGAAGTCCGCCATTAATATTTTTTATAAAATAAAACGTAAGTTTATCTCTTATTATAATTTATTTTATAATTAAAAGAAATTGATACTTTTTATTTTATTATTGCAGTTGAATGTCAGAAAACATAAAAAACCATTCAATATTGAAATGATTATTGCAATTACTATATAAAGTACCAAAAATCGACTGAAGTTGGCGCTAAGATCGACGTTCCATCACGTGCATACCGACCATAATTGGTATTAAGGATGAAAGGATTAGAAATATATTTAATCCCAATGCAATAGACCATTTCAACAATATAACAGATATATCGATCAAAATTTCTAATGATTTCTAATGATTTCTAATTTCTAGAAATATAATTTTAATACATATATATTTACAAAAATATTCATATTACAAAAATTCCGATAAAAATCCAATAGAAAAGATCAATTTACAATACTAATTACAACATGGACAGATGATAAATATCGATATAAATCAAACCTCGTAAACAGTATCAGCGAACGAAAGTTGGCAGACTATAGCCATCGGACGAGTTTGGAATATTGAATCGAGAGTCGTCTTCAATTTCTGAGTTGACTCGATTGTGCCATGCTTTGTTCTCCTCCGGCCGACTACTCAACCCATTGCTCGATTAATTAGCAGTAATTGCA